AAATAAAATAATTAACATAAATTAATTTTATATTAAATAAGAAATTTAAAAATTAAAATTAATAAAATAAAAAATAAAATAATTAACATAAATTAATATAAAATTAAGTAAGAAATTTAAAACTTAAAATTAATAAAATAAAATAATTAACATAAATTAGTTTAATATTAAATAATAAAGTTAAAAATTAAAATTAATAAAATAAACAAATAAAATAATTAATTTAAAAATTAAAATTAATAAAATAAAATAATTAACATATTTTAATTTAATATATTAAATAAGAAAATTAGAAATTAAAATTAATAAAATAAAATAATTAACATAAATTAGTTTAATATTAAATAAAAAAATTAAAAATTAAAATTAATAAAATAAACAAATAAAATAATTAATTTAAAATTTAAAATTAATAAAATAAAATAATAACCATAAATTAAATTAAAATTAAATAAGAAAATTAGAAATTAAAATTAATAAAATAAAAAGTAGGTAACATTAGTTATTACAAAATTAAATAAAATAACTAAAAATTAAAACTAATAAAGTTAAAAAAAATAAAATAAGTAATATAAATTAATATAAAACTAAATAAAATAATTAAAATTTAAAATTAATAAAATTAAAATTAATAAAGAAAGAAAAAATAAAATTATTAACATAAATTAATATAAAATTAAATAAGAAAATTAAATATTAAATTTAATAAAATAAAAATTAATAAAGTAAGAAAAAATTAAATAAGTAACATAAATTAATATAGAATTAAATAAGAAAATTAATAAAATAATATATGCGATGTTTTTGCTTTTTATATTCTCATATTCTCGAAATTGGTGACGGCATTCGCCTCTTCGTTATTTCTTACATTTTACAGAACCTCAATTTGACCATATTTAGTAATGTAAATAAACGATAATGTGCGAAAAGAATCTGTTTGCACGCTCGAAACATGCTAAAATGTGATGTACAAATGTGAATTTTTGCACAAAAAAAAAAAATACAATGATTTTCACTTATTTTATTGTTAAACATAATTTCCGCTCTTCTTTTAGTTATTTTTTTTATATCTGGAGACAAAAAAAATTACAAGTATATTTCACAAAAATCAGCAGCAATAAAACTTGCGAAAATTGGGTAAAATACTTACATATATACATATATATATATACATACACACATACATGAGTGATAAAAATCATTGTGGCGGCAGAAACAACACCACAAAACGGCGCGTGAAGCGCAAACAAACGAGACAACAAAATTAAAAAAAAAAAATATAATGAAATGGACAAAAAAAAGGTCACTGAGCTCTCTATGGGGGGAAACAATGAGCGGCAGTGAGGAAAGTAAGCTGCCAAATTGCTCGTGTATGTATGTATGTGTGTCAGTAAAGCACTTAAAGTGCCACTAACTAAATGCGGGAAATTGCAACAGAACAAAACAAAGGCATGCTAAATTGTCTATATTTCACTTCCTTACATATCTACATACATACATTGATTTGTATTATATATATACGAGTTCTCTATAGAAAACCACAAAAATTCATGAATGAATAAAATAATCAGCGCTTCGCATGAATGATTGCGAAAATTGTACTTTTAATTTGCTCGTTACAAGAAATGGATTAGTTAAAAAAATTATGTATACATATGTACATTTTATATATATACACATGTATGAATTAAACCACTTACAAGGCAGTCGTCTCAAGTGTTTTGTACCAGACGCTTACTATGTAGAAGCACAAAATAAATTAGTTTGAATAAAAAAAAAATATATATATATATATTTATGTACATTTGTAAGCCTCTCTGAGCATGTTTACATGTCTAATCTTTCATGCAGCATCTCGCTCCAATGATTTGTTAAACAACAACCAACTTGTTCCGTCCGACATTGACGCTTCGTGCTGATAATTCCGTCAAAAGCCGCTGGCTTTGGTTGCTTTCAGCGCGTTGTTGTACGGAAATTTAGGTCAAACTAATGACCGACAAGTAGAAGAGCTCTCTGTGTGTGTCTGCATATGTATGTATGTATAGGCATGGCAAGCGAAGAATGTGAGGTGTAAAAGCACAAGATGTCTTCCAAGAGACTTTGTAGTGGGTAAGAGTAAGTTTATAGCTAAGCTAATACATACATATATATACATATATGCGTTACAATTGACCAGGGTTGCTCTATAAAACTAATTCTTATTCGAAAAAAAGAAGAAGAAAATTGGAGAATCTATTTTTGGAGATTTTCGAAACTAGTGTCGCTAGGGAGAGTTCTTGATACATACAAAACTTCATCGCAGACACTAAAAAGCAAGGTAGAAAAACACATAAGCTCATCTTCAGTCGCTTAACCGTTACGTAACCTCATTTTTCTCTGGAACTTTTACAAAAGCGTACTTAGGAACTGTAAGAAGACGCTAAGATAGACTCAAAGATCCACTTAGAGGAACTTCTGTAGAGCCACATAGGGTTTTCTCAAGAAAAGAATGATTTATGGGTAACGTAAGGCGTCGAAGCCACAGAGCTGTGAATAAACATACATTTCCCGTGCAAAACGAGTATTTGCCAATCGGTAAGACCAATAAACTTGTGATTACTGATTACGCTCGTCACATATCATACAGAGCTTAGTGTTCTAAAAAAGAGAACACCTCGTAAGATATCATTGTGTTTCAATTGCTGCGTTCTCTTCTTCTAAATTGAGATCGCCTAAGTCTGAGAGCTCAAACAAAGTTTTTCGTTCGACAGAAAACGGAGCTAAAAAGCGCAGATAACTTGAAGAATTCGACTAAAAATGATGTTTAAGTACTAGAAACTGAGTCGGGACTTTGGTATCCTTAACACTATTATGCGCTGAAGAGTTATTAAACACATTGGAGGCATAGAGGCAAGGGACACACACGAAAGCCGGCACTACGCACAGGTAAGGGCTGTCAATTTACGGCGAGCCAACTTTTTTTAGGTCAAGAGGTATACTTAGTCTAAGGAAAATACATCGTCATCTTCAGTGACACAGCAGACAGCTATAAAAACGCTATGCTCAAACTATAAAATCATATCGAACTATAGAGATCTAGTAGAAAATGGCTGAATAGTAGACCACAATCTCACCTTTGGGGTACCTGGCCTTGGAGACATAGTGAGCGGGACTGCAATGCAGACTACCTTTCTAGTTAAGTTACGACCAGTCAAATTCTTTTGTACAGCGAACGCATTGGTACGTCTCTAGGTAAACGCAAGCTGCTACTAAAGGAATATTTTCACAGAGCGGTCACGTGGAGGTGGAAAAAATTAGACCTGATGAGACAAAATTAGGATATAGAGAAGTTTAATGGATTGCAATATATGCTTTCAAAGAGAAAATTGCAAACCGCATTGGGATCCTTGGTAGCGTTAAAGGACGACATGCAGAAAGGCTAGGAATTCCTCTAAGAAAATGTTGTGGGAGCTAAAGGAATGACGTGGAGGAAGTTTATATTTTGTAACTGCAATAAGATTGTCTTGCTCTAGGCAGAAGTAGACTTTGACATTTCGGAGACGCGTTTAAATATAGCCACTTTCATTCTGCTGAGACTAAAGAAGCGACCTTTTAAGAAAAGCATAAGGGAGTCAAAGTGAATGACCACGGACAGTGGGATCGGGTTATTTTTCATTGTTTCACAATAAGCATAAGACAAACTATGGATATGAATATTAAAAAATACAAAGTAAATACATATAAACACACATACATATGTACATAAATATGTATATATGTATATATATATATATATTTACATACATATATTTATACTAATTTTAAACATATCCAATTCACCTTTCTACTAACATATTCTCATACATACATCTGTATGTACATATATTTTTACTTTCGAACAAAAACAAATTTTGAAGCAAATCAAAAGCAAGGTCAAATGTCATTCGCTCTGCCTGTTAGTGGCGGAAGTAAATTACTTTTAATGGCTTAATTGTGTTTTTGGCTTTTATAACGAATTAGTAGTAAATGATTTTATTATATACATACATATGTATATAATTGGCGCTTTGTAACCGCTGAAGCGATTTTTGGCCAAGCTCCTCCACCATTTTGTGGAGAGACCTACAGTTTATACTATGCCGCCTCTGAACGTCTGATGGTTTTTTTCATGAGGAGACTTTATTTGATTTGTCTTTGAATGCGGATTTATTAGGGAAATTAGATTCTAACGGTGTCAAAAAAAGTAGACAGCGTTTGCGAGCAGTACAATTAGGAAATGTGCTGTGGAAATAACCATTGTGGGACAAAGTAAATAACAACAAATTTTAGAAAAAAAAAATGCCTAAACTTCTTTTTACACATGAATACATTTTTTATTAATTAAATGGAATTATCTTCAGAAGCTCAGTCACAGCTAATAAATCAAAAAGCATTAAATTACAAAAAATACTGCTTTATATACACATGCACATTCGCGTTGTGTGCACCGAAGTGGCAAGAAAAATTAACTCAACACTACATAGGAGCGAAAAGTAATAGATACACACGTTGAGCATGATTTTCATTGTCCTTGTGCAACTACATACTGTTTTTTTTCCTCCACTTGTTACCCATAAGCATTGTCCCGTGACGTATACACTTGAGTTTCCGCTCAACTTTGTTGTAGTTTTGTTTTTCTTTTCACAAATTCATTATTTCACTTGTAACTTTTCTTTTCTTTAGTTAGCACTACTTTGATCAGCACATTTCTAATATCCTGGCGCAGGAAATGTGCTGCGAAATTGTGTATGTATGTGTTTGTCTAGTGTGCAAAACCATCCCTTAGCGCGCTGCTACTTGTGGCCACAAAGTCCCAAATCAACAGTCGGTAGATGCAATTCACTTCATATACATATATATATGTACACATTTCTTGTATTCATTCACATTTTTATTTTGATTTACAATTTTTTTCAATTTACATGCACTTTTATTACTCTCTCGCTTTTTCACCCATACACACATACGTATACACACTTTACCTTGCTGTGCGTTTTGTTGTTTGGTCATTATACGCACGTTCGCACCATTATCATCACGTATTCGTGTTTTCTTTTTAGCGCATGTATTTTTCACGAGTATTTTCTTTGTTTTGTTCTTTGTTGTTTTTGCATTTCTGTTTTGTACATTTTTTTTTTGTCAAGAGCCGCTTATCGATTTTTCTTGCAACCAGCAGCAGCAGCAGCAGCAGCAGCAGCAGTAATTGGTGTGTGAGCGACTGCTTCCGTTTCACACCAACGGCGCAGATTTAACAAAAAACTGACTTTGCGACTTTACTTCACAAATCAATTTCTGGCGAGCAAAATCTTGCGATTTATCTGGAACCACACTTCCAGGCGACAATTATCAGTAAAAGGGTTAGATGGAAATGCCTGCTTAATACTGTAATACACACAAATTGTAAGGCTGTCACGGTGCGTCCGGCGGCCTTCCCTCATAGAGGAGGTGAAAATTTTCACAGCACATAAATCACATAAACGCCTCCCCCTTTTACATATAAATTTTCACTCACTTCCTTGTGCTAATTTGGACACTGATTCAATGTGTATCTCGAATTTATTTTTCTTTTTTCGCTATTTCGTTGTTTTCTGCTTACATTGTGTAAATTTATTTAGAATTTGCAAATTTTTCACATTTTTTCATTCACCTTTTGTGTGTAAACTTGCGCGACGACGTCGAAAAAACGTCCAAACACGTCAAAGAAATTGCGAACAATGAATTTTTCGTTCTTGTCTTTCATTTGACATTTGTGGTGTCAACTGTCAGTGCAGAGTTGACGTTTGGTTTTCGTTGTTCTGCTAGCGGCGCACACTCTTTGTGCTGCTGGTTTACCATGCGAATCGCTTTTATTGTTTTCTTCTTTGTTTACGATTTAAGAGCAAAATAAGAGCAATGCGGGAGAAAATTGGTGCTGCCGTCGGGTTAAAAATTGGTTTGGATTTTACGAAAAGTGATGGAATTAGTTATGCTCGCCAACTTAATTTGCAGTTTTTTTCCTTCCAAAGAATAAATGTAATGTCCTTTATTTACTCAGTAATTCACAATTCAATTACAATGCATTTTACTAGCTACAATCACTTGCATAAACTTTTACAATTTACTCTACATAAATGTAATACCCAACGAGTTTACTTAGCGACTTTACTGATGTTAACGCCAACGAGTTCACTTTGTAACTAACTTGACTTGGCAGCTGAGTATCGCCCTTATATAGCAGTCGGCTGCTCGTAGACGAAAGTGTAGAATAATCGAGTTGTTCGCTATCGAAGGTTCTCTTTTTATCATTCTAGAATGTACTAGTTATCGGCTTCTCTNTATTGTGAATTACGGAGTAAATAAAAGACATTAGATAAAATCTTAATAACGAAAGAAACTGCAAATTGAATTGGCGAGTTTTTATTTAACAATCCAGAGATCGTACCCGAAGGATCTAGAAAATAATCGAGGTTGATTTAGTAAAATCGTAACAATATTAAATAGAAGAATAAAGTTATTTATAAAATATAATTGTTTCATTTTGGTTATGATTTATTTTAACGAAAATCAGAGAAACTGAACTACATTATGCTTCTTCGCCTTTTTAAATTAATTATTTTATAATAAGAATGTAAATTTGTATTTATATAAGACAAATAATTACGGCAGCTATATGGAATGCAAAAATAAATTTTTAATAAAAAAAAATAAAAAATTGTGTCTCATTCCATCAAATTTGCATTTGTATACACACGCATATATATAAATCAGCGAGTTGCTTCAGAGCAGGCTCCCTAAATTCATATCCATCTAATTTATGTCATTACTTGCTAAGCTTTCACTCTAAATGAACCTCATTAAGCCTGGATCGCTTGGGAGAAACGGCCTATTAAACAGTCTTCTATTGCGTCTGATTCCACCAAGACTTTTCCTTAATTGCAAATCGTATGAATATGCAAACTAACTCTTTCCCTTTTCTTGTTTTTTTGTGCAAACTCTTAATCAATCTGCGCTCTTCCTATGATTAAAAATGTAGCATGTGATAATTCAATTTCATGTGATAAAAAATTTCAAATCGATATCCCAAATAGTTTTTGAGTTATAGCAATTCAAAGAGCAACCGTTCGGCAGCTAGAGAGTCTCATTAGCTGCGAGTGCAAACGATCATTTTATTTTTAAACGCGTTTTTCCAGAAACAGCATTTTCCGAATTTACTGCAATGATTACTCAAAAACAAATTATCCGATCGCTATCGATTTTTTTACATGGTCTATATATAGTTCTCCGTACAATGGCCTATCGATTTTTGATCTGATAAAAAAAAATCGAATTTCGGCAGGCAAAAAAACGACCAAAATTTTGAGTAAAATTCGACTATATTTTTTTTAAACGCCGCCATATTGTCAATTTTTAATTTTTTTTTTATCGTAGACAATATTATCTAGTTAAAAGAGAATTTTTTTTAGATTTCATTCACGGAGAAGGCCGGAATCACGGCAGCAGTGAAGGATCATTTTTTTCAAAAGAAAATTTTTATTTAAACATTAAATGAGAAAAATTGTTGCTTTAAAAACCGTTATTTTGTTTTGGGAAGCGGATTTTTTTTTAAATTACGCAACATTCATTGATTTCTCCTATGTAAATTTAAATAAATACCAAATCAATAATTTCGTCAGAAATTTTAGTTATTGATAGTCTGCGTTACTCTTTTTTCAAATTTTATATCTAAAACTTAATAATTAAAACTAGTTACAGCATTGAAAAACTCTTCCGTAGCCCTTATTAGCAACTCTATGCCGTCTTTGTTACAGTAATTGCCGTTAAATAAGGAAAATTTACTTAAAAAACAATTCCAATTAACAAAGGTTTGTGTTTGGTTTGTGTTTCGGATGGCAATATCATGTTTTATTCAACAGTGGCGCTGCAATTCTTTGAGCGCTACTTCTAGCGCCTCTCAAACTATACTTACTGTTTGACAACCAAACGACTGGAAATAGAAATTTCTCGTTTTATATTCATTGTCGACAATTCGTTTAATTTAGCATAAAAAAATACGTTAATACACAGTTTTTTTATTAATGTATTAGTGTTAATTGAAAAAAAAGCAAAGCGCTGTTGTAAGTAATATATAGTGCGGCTTTTATGTTGCATAGCGTGAAAATTTGCATACTTAAATATGCAAGTCATCATTGCAGTAGAGAATATGCTGTGAATTCATGAGAAGTCGCGTCGCAGTAGCGTCAGTATGTTTTTTTTTGGCCAAAATTTTAATTTCCGGTGCAAGAAAAAATGATCTTGCAAAATTGAAAAGTTATTTGCAAATATGCTATGCATATACATATGTATATGAAAATATAACGCGTGTGTCTAACAAGTGATATTATATAATATTTGTGCAGCAATGTCCTTGCTAACAAATTTATGTATGCTTTACATATGTAAATATATTTGTAAATAAATGAGAGTGCAGAAACGAAACTTAATACTCGCTACTTTTTTATTCAAACTATACATACGAGTATATAATATTATTATATAATAATATGACCATACCCCAGGCAGCTTCTGGCGATGCTGTATGTCGTGAAGACGCAAGGTTATTAACTAATACAACAAAATATACTTAACAGCTGGCACTTATGCGTTTACCGTGTTGCATTAATATGCTTACATAAATATTTAGTGCTTATATACACATATACATACATACGCATATTAATTATTGTTAATGAAAATATTACAACGTTCAGTGACCTTGATATACAAAAATCGTCCGAGTTTCCTTGCAAACGTCTAACTCAGACTTTGATTTCTTTTATATGTTCTTGTTGTTGTTTCTGTTTCAAACGTCCGTGAATGCGAAAAGAAGAAACGTAATTATGTAAGCCGGCAAATTTAGTGATAAATACAAGACAAGTGTAATGAATATGCACAATTTGATTACATACATACATATGCATGTACTCTATGTTTGTGGTCGGTAATGTGGCTATGCATAATTGAGCGGCTAACAAGCTCGAATTAATGAAAATACGCTCACATGTGCCTAAATATATATATTTTTGTGCAGATGTTAACAGTTGAACGAGCTTTTCTATGCAGCGTGTATTAATGAGTGCATGTACATATAAATATATATATATATATAAATGCGTAATTTGCTGAATTTTCGTTTAATAAATAAGTACATACATATATATAATTACAATTATGATCTTATGAGTGATACGTGTTATAATTGAAAGTGCTATAATTCGTAATGATGAACGAAAGAAGGCGAAGACAGCGGTTGGTAATCAAAGAAAAAATATCAAGATAATTCTATTTTTCCAATTTTGTATTCTGTGCCAAGTTGGGCTTTCAGCATGACCAATCAGACAGTGATAAGACGGGTGTGACTAGACAAGCGCTAGAATATCCTTCACGTTCCACCCCAGATAGTCAAACGATCTTGCTGATGGGAGGCTTGTCTGTTCGGCAAAGATCACCCATCTCCTACTGCTGCTGTTGCTGTTGTTGTTGTTGTAGCGGCTACGTTAACCCTGCTTAAGTGCAATTTTGTGATCAATCTAAGTCACCGAGGCCATCTAAAGGGAGATCCAGGAAACGTGCTGTTTCGACGGGATCGGAGCAGCGGGAGAGGTTGGGTTGCAGCTACCACCTGCAAAATCCTCGTCTAGCATTTTCAACAGTCAGACGAAGAAGTTACTACTCGAACTCGTTGTGAAAGCCGTTGGCGTAAAAACCTCGACAAGCAGTTTTTAAGAGTCACATTCGACAGCCTGTACTCCTTCACAACGCATAGAACTGCAATTGTCACAAAAGTACAGCGTCTCAGCAAAATCCTCAAAGCGTTAGCAGACAGCACCTGGGTAAAAGACAAGTACACTTTGCACGGGGACATACAGGACAATTGGCTGGCATGAGACAGGACTTTAACGAAATCCAATCACCACCGAAGACCTCGAACTGCCTCCAGAGTCCCGAGTAATACTGGTTCAACTAAGAACTGGATATCCTGTGCAGACTTATACCCGGCATACCCAAAGTAAGACCTGCATGCAATGAGACCACGCACGGAACAATCCACCTCTTTGCACCCGCATTGAAAAAACTTACTCATTTAACTCTCACTTTCACTTTGCTGCAAAACTGTCAAAAAAGCTCGTTTCCTGAACCTACCGTCAGATGAACGCGATGACTTAGACCAGTCTCTCCAGCTCTTAAGTGGGGTTGGAAAGCCGCTAGTTGCTATAACAACGAATCTACCGCTTCCTCGACTGCAAACTTTGCCGCTTGAAAATGCTTTTGGTATAGTTAAAACTAGAGCTGATTGCGAGTTCCCCGGACTGCCGGGACAAGCTCAATCATCACTGGGAGTAATACCTGTAGCGTAGGGCTTGTCGGGAGCATACGCACGCTCAATGAAATGAAGTCTGAGTATCCTCACAGGTCTTAAACCGAGCCGTACTCCCTTGGATTTAAAGCAGTACTCCAACCGCCGGCTTTATCAATGAACTGGCTCGCAATGCTCCACTGAGAACTAACAAAATTGTATGACTTTAAATAATTCTGCTCCCACGAAGCATCTGTTTTCGGCTCAGAGACGAGAAGAAAGAAGTGAAGCGTATTTTATTACACCCGCAACCAGCCAAAAATGTAACAATTCTCACATCATTACCCGGACGAAACGCGTTGAAAGCTTTTTTCTCTGGTACAAACATATTAAGTACCAACATTATTAAAGCCTACGCCATATTTCAGTATTTTTTTCATTCTTCTTTTCCACTTCATTTTGCTGACACTGAAAATTAACCTTAATAAATTGACTACACCTCGGCGCTTGCCCCAAAGCGTTCGCACA